AAAAACCCTCCCTTGCAGATCTTAAGGCTCGCACTGGTTTATATAAGGAGATACAGTCTTTCAAATAGTCTGGAATGGCTTTAAAGCTCAAAACGGCTTTACAGCTTTAAAGGTCAAAACCAACACTTTGAATTCTGCACAGAAATGGACTAACACGTCTATTTCAATGAGAGGTAGGGTGGTTTCACATGATCTCTGTATCCAGCCCCGGTCAACAGCCTAGCCACAACATTTTGGACTTGATGAAGTTTCTGAACAGTTTCCAAAGGTAGCCCCACATAGAACACGTTACAGTAGTCCAAATGGGATGCAATCAAGGCATGTGTCACTGTAGCCAGATCCGGCTTCTCAAGGAATGGGCACAGCTGGCACACTAGTTGTAATTGTTCAGATCCATTCCTGGCCACAGCCGAAACCAGACTCAGTTCTGTGTCCAGGATTTCAGGAGGAGTATAACCCCATCCAGCACAGGCTGAATCCCTATTCCCTGATCTGCTTTCCAACTGCATTGCAATGGTTCCATTCCTTTCTCTTGGAATTCCAGAGGGTGATGCTCAGGGACAGTTGCTCAGCAAAAAAGGAACTTATTTGTGGTGTCCCTCAGGGCGCCATCCTGTCCCTGATGCTATGCAACATATATATGAAGCCACTGGGAGAGATCATCCGGAGACATGGGGCGGGGTGTTATCCATACGCTAACGACACTCAGATATATTTCTCCTTGTCTAGGTCTACAGCTTTGACTTTAGATGGCATCCCCCGTCTCTATGAATGTCTTAAAGTGGTAATGGACTGGATGAGGAAAAACATGATTGAAACTGAATCCAGACAAAATGGAGGTACTAATGGTAACGGCCCTGAACCCAGGTATTGGGACACGATTTCCAGTCCTAGATGGAGTCTCACTCTCCTCAAAGGACTGTGTTTGCAGTCTGGATCCATCGCTTCAGATGACAAATCAGATGATTGTGGTGGTCAGGAGCGCCTGCGATCAGCTTCAGCTAATACGACAATTGCGCCCTTTCCTGGAGGTCAGGGACCTCAAAACCATGGTCAATGGTATTAAAAGCTGCTGAGAGGTCCAGTACAAAAAACTGGGACACACTCCTTCAATCCAATCCTCTGTCTTGCAATAATGATAATGATAATGGCAATGGCAACAATGCCTCTGATTCCTAATTCTCTCAGGCGTTCCAAGTGGATGTCATGATCTATTGTGTCAAAGGCTGCTGAGAGGTCCAGTAGCTCCAACAGGGTCACATTACCTGTGTGTGTGATAGTGTGATGGAAACCTGACTTGCTATAATGAGCCATTCACTACTCCCCCTAACTGATCTGCCTGTCCTCCTTGGGCTGCTTTCAACAGCCAGGAAAGGCATGAGTCCAGTACGTATATGGTGGCTCTCACTTTTTCAAGCATCCCGTTCTTGCACAAATTGCAATGTTTCCAGTCACACTGGACAAGTAGGAGCTGGTTTCATCCACCAGACTTGTATTAACTTCTACAGCATCCAAGTCATAGCAGATCCCAGTAGTTTTATAATAAATAATAATAATAATAATAATAATAATAATAATAATAATAATAATAAAAAAATTTTTATTTATAGCCCACCCCTCTGCACGGCAATTGGGGTGGGGTACAACATTTTAAAACAATGTTTTTATCCACAAAGTGCTCAAAGTGTTCTATCAGTGAGCTTGAGTGGTGATAGTGATAGTGAGCGGGATTTAAATGGTTGAATATTAAATACCTCTTTGAAACTCTGATGAGTGCAGGAGTAGCCTTGTTGAATAAATAACACACATAAGTGCCACTAGTGATTATTTATTCCTTAACTGGTAATTATAGCATGGGGCCATGCATGCCCTTGTGTGCCATACCATCCATGGTGATCAGCCAGCCCAGCACCCCAACCAATTTCTTCACACTTGACATAGTTGAACGGCTGATCTTTGACAGCATTACTGCCTATGTGACATCAACGGTTACTTCACCAACTCTCAGATTTATTTTTATACCCATTTCCATGTCTTCAAATCCTTCAAAGAGAGATGTCCATGTTGGTCTGTTTTAACATAAAAAGCCAGCAGTGCTTTTGAGACTAACTGGTTTTTTCTAGTGAAAGCTTTTGTGAACTCTAGCTGACTTTATCTACAGGTCTGGAAGCAAATAATGAAATGTAAATGGTAATGATATAAGCAGTGAATGACAGCCATCCATTACTTGCATTGACACAGACTACCATGCAGTACAGCCATATGCATGGCTACTTAGTAGTAGATCTCACTATGTTCCATGAGGCATGCTACTTAGCCTGATTAGAAGCCCCTGTGTCTTTAAATGTGTTTAGAAATTAATCTTTATTGATTTATTTATCATTATGGCAATACTTCCATAAATATTTCCACAACTTCATGGCCTTTTACTAGGAAGAGACTGCTTTCTTCTTTATAAATCCAGTTTGTCCCTGATAGGTAGGGAGTCCCCTGGTAATGCCACCTGCTGTTGAGGTCTTGATCATTTGAAGCAGGGCATTTAGTATGATGGCATCCAATATGGGCAAAGTCTGGCCCTCCAAGTATGGTGGACTGCATCTCCTATAGTCCCTTACCATTGGCTATACTAGCAAAGGCTGATAGGATTTGCAATCTAAACCATTTTGCCCACATCTGCACTATGCAGACTACTCTTGCCCTGATGTTACACATATTTTCATGATTTTTAATTTAACAAATGTACTGTATTTTACTTCTATGCTTCATATAGATACTGTATATTGCTTATATGCATCATATATGTGCTTTATTAATGTTGTGCACTACTTTGAACTATTGATATGTAGTGTGTGTGTGTGTGTACTCTCTCACGTTCACACATACATAAATAACAGTAAGGAAAAATGTTTAAAATTCTAATTGCAATCTAAAGACCAATAATGTGTCTTTAATCCCACTTTGATCCTTTTGGTAGAATGAGTTGGATGAAACTAATTTTTAGATCAAAACAACATCTTGCATTAACAGGCAAGGGATAATGCAATGAGCATCACAGACTGTGGTAATCTATGGGTTTAAGCAAATGAGCCAACTGAATTAGAGATGCAATTCAATAAAGTTTCTGGCCAATTTCCAGATAATGTTTCTTTAAAGGCTGATTCACATATACATGTTTGTCACATAATGATGTGTATATCTGAGATAACACCTAAAACAATAATTTATGCATTTAAATCTGACTTTACCAGCATACTTGCAAAGTCACCAGAATTTCTGTTTGTGACAATGAGTGATTTGGTACATGCATGATGTCATTTGATGGATGCTATAATTTATAAATTATAAACATGCATGTTATTACCTGGCCTCTGGCTCGACAAAGATGAATTAAAGAAGGAACAGCAAGCAAGGAATTTGCTTGAAATTTTTAATTAATGAATTGCTATCCCATTGGAAGGCAGTACTGAGTTGGCCTAAGACACACAGAAACGCCAAGAGAGCATGTGCAC